CCCACCCCCACCCCCACCCCCCTAGGGGTGGGGCTCTGTTTGAAGTTGTATCTCAAGTACTGGATGGATCTTTCTGAAATTTCATATATACTTACAGCACCTACCATGGAGTGCTATATCTTTACTTCATACCAATTATTTTAAACATATTCAGGTGAGCGATACATGCCCTCTGGGCCTCTTGTTTTAAATTTGTTTCCTTGTGGAATTTGCTTATTACTGCCTCTGACAAACCCTACTCTCTTTTCCAATCCATTGACAATTTTGTCTTTTTCTTTAGTTTCAATATTTCCTTTAATTAGGGAGCATAAAAAAAACTAGCAATTAAATAGTTCCCTGTTAGTGATTCAAAGCGATATGTTTTACGTCATTCCTGACAAGAAAAGAATCAACTGCCGGATATGCAAGTATTCTAATAAGCATTGTTTCGCCACACGTATCTACCAATACATTGTTTAGATAGAATCATTTATCCAGGCATATGTCAGTATAGGTAATTTCTCCTTAAAACAAAGAACCATTGGGGCAACTTGGTATTCAATTTAGCAATACATGAAAAGCAACGAGATTAATACCTAGGATTACTTATCATAATGTTAGAAAACAATCAGTCAGTGGAAACGTATTTACTAAGACACAGTGTGCCGAATCAGTAAAGTCAGTTGTTAGAAAATATTGAGACAATTCGCCAAATAGCACATCTATACTGCAGGCAGTCAGGGACGTGTTATATGTTGACAAATTCCGTCCCTTAGTGAATTTTGAAAAGAGGTAATAAAGTTCGGCACCCAGTGCCTTAGTGAATTGTTTTCAGCGGTTTAGAGTCAAGACATCGGCCATTTAAACTCTTTGCTTGACAAAGGAAACGGGCATGTTCGGAAGCTCGCAAAATATGTCTTCAAGTCCTGTTTGAGTTCAAACAATAGTCAGCATTTCTACCTCCTCTCGTTCCAGGGAACTGGTTTAACAGTTAATGTTGCTGCCTTGGAGTCGCTGCCAGTGAATTCTAGATACTTGTGGAATATTGCTGACAGTGTTTGTTTTACTGCAGGATGCATACTTGTCGCACTTGTAGCTTACGTCTTCCGAGACCTACCATGGCGTTATATGCAGATTGCATTTGCTGTCGGATCGGCATACAGTCTGTTTGAATATTGGTAATACATGAGTGTTTGGATGAATCCTGTCAAACGTCGAAATATTTTAATATTTCGTGATTTTGTGATTCATCTTATTCATGTTCTTATTTTAGGAATAGATATTGCGATTTGTATTCAAATGCATGTTATCTATGCTAAACACTTGTTATATTCTAAATATTTTACTTCATGTTCAAAAAATTGTGTGATTGATATGACAAAATTTCTTATTAATATTCAAAATTCGTAGTGTATATTAGGAAAGCTCTTTTTTTATTGTTAATCAATCTAGAAATGTGTTGTGTAAATCTAATTCTAGGAATCGTGTGTTGATGTTCAATTTGATGATGGGTAATTTGACGTAAATTCCCATTTGTGATTCTAACATTTATAACATAAAAAAGCATGATCAGTTTCAAACAAATCTATACCATTTTCAAAAGATATTCATGTCTTCTGATCAACAGGTTTCTTGAAGAATCGCTTAGATGGCTTCTTGCAAACGGCAAGAAGGAAAGAGCAGAAAAAATCATCCGCATGGCGGCTCGCATGAATGGGAAGGACTTTGATTCCGTCATCAAAGCTGCCTCTACAAAAGCCAATGAAATGGAAGCATTTTTGGCAAAACCTGCCAGCATTCCACCGGAAGAAAACTCACTAACAGCGGAGATGGACATAATAAACAATTCCAATGATGACAAAATAATTCATAATGATAGAAAGCCGGAAAAATACAATGCATTGACTATATTTAAACACAAGCGAATTCTTTTTAATTCCCTCATAATTTGGTATACATGGTGAGTATATTTAAGAGTTGTTTGTAGTTTGAAATGGACTCAGTGTGTAAGCTAATCATTAGAAAAACCAGGAGATCGAGCACCTGTTAAAATGTAGTTTTTAGATGCAGAAAGCCAAATTACATTTTACTGCATTAAATAGCGGTGTGGTTAATTTAGAACTTTATCAGTGGTGTAACAAAATATACTTATAATTAGACAACTAATGATAGATTGAATCGAGAGAAGCACTTTGGTCAAAAGTATATTTGAGGTCAAATCTTACGATTTGGATTACACCGTGCATTGATTGACAGAGGGGGACTGTTGAATTGTAGACATTGCTATAGAGCTATCCATCTCAATAAGCTAGTGGCGACCAGGTAAACTTGCGCGTTGTTTAAAATGATTGCGATGTGGAAATGGTTCTGGTATGTCTTTACATAAATATTCGCGCGTGCATAATTTCGCAGAAATGTACTCAACGCCAAAACGCAAACATTTCCACACCGCGACAATTGTCACATTTACAGTAAGTGTGCAATTGAGCCTACATGATTTGCACAGAAATATTGCTATATCTGTTATTCAGTTTGCAGTGTAACCCAATTCAGAACCTCAATTTTTTCAGGACAATCAACAGCCTTGTGTATTATGCATTATTCCTGGGATCTACGTCAATGTCTGGTGACCGTTATATCAACTACTCCCTCATGGCCCTGGTTGAGTACCCGGCCACTGCCGCACATTGGTACTCCGTCAAAAGGTAAAACTAATACAGTGGAATTTGGATAAGACTCCAGTTTTCCGGATAATTTCAATTTCTCTGAAGGTTTATAAGCTGGAACTAAATAACTTTGAATTTACCTTCAAGGTTTGCTTATCATAGTGAAATGAAAAAAAAATCAGTTCGGCTTACGTGAATTTATTATTTTATAATTATACTTTTGAACTTCGTGCGTGTTTATGTACATTTTTATTGTAGCAATATTTTGTCTTGGTTAATGAAACGAAGTTTGTCATTGGACTATGAAATAAGAGGTCCACCTACGCCGTGCATTTTAAGAGTTTTGTTTTATATTTTTACATAAATATACGTATTCATTAATTAAGTATGAGAGAAAATTTATATATTTATATTATATATGTAAGTATAATACTTGTAAATACAAAAATTATTGTTTTGAGCATTTTTGGAAAAACTCCTGCCTTAGAGCGTAGGCGAATTGAATAGTATTAGGTTCATAGAATTTAGTAAATATCTAGCGTCACAGACTATTGTTTGTTTCAGATTTGGGAGGAGGAAAAGCTGTATAATATTCCATACAATAGCCGGTGTCTCTCTAGCTGTATCTACAGTATGTAGAACGTACCAAGGTAGCTACATAGATTGTTATCAAACAGTGTATGGAACATAATAATGTACAATGATTTACCCTATACTGCAGAAGTCTTATTTTTGCGGTTTTCTATTTTCGTGGATTTCCAAAGTTGCCATATTTACGATATCAATTGTTCGCGGATATTATTTCTGGTGGTCATTGCACATAAGAATATGGTAAGGATATGGACCTGTAATTTCGCAAAAAAATATTATACAGCTACAATTACAAAAAAATAAATATCCGACAGGGAATTATTTTTTACAGTATTTGTTAGATGATGGCACGCAGAGAAAGGTATTATAGTATTAATTCGGCTTTGTCTATCGGTTGACCTTTTGCTATTTTCTTCCCTGGTGTAAGTTACATCTACAATGTATATACTATTTTTATAAGTCCCTGTTATTTTTTTTGTTTAAGAAGAGAGACCTGTGTTGAAAACAAGCTTTGATTTTCTGTAATACCGTCAATGTTTGCTTATTATATTTTAGATGACGTCACTGCATTAGGAACCGTTTCTCTTGTTTTCAACTTCATTGGGAAGTTTGGGATTACAGCTTCATTTAATACAATATATCTCTACACACCTGAATTGTACCCTACTAACCTAAGGTAAGAGACAATCCAAGATTTAATTTTGGATTATATTATTTTCACATGATAACCCAGAAAATAGGCGATGAAGCTAACTTTTCCAGTAAAAGCTTTTTAACAAAAGGACATTTATCTGTGACTTGTCTTAAATAAATGTTTGACATAAAAGGTGTGAGGCTTAATAATGATTCTTCCCTAACGAAACAATATTATACCAAGTCAGGTTCTGACCCAACGTATACAGTCTGACTTAATCATGTATATTTACCTTTGCTCTGCATTGCCACTATATAACACTACCAAGGCCAGTTCCGTGGTATGAGACCATTAAATATATGCATATTGATATGTCCATGGGACCGACTAACTACCGGATAGCTATTCCCCTCTGCACTAGCAAGCGGATAAGCAAAATGCCCCACTATGATTCAATGATATTCACCGATTTATGTAAGACTATTATAAAATGTGAATTGAATATATTGATTGATTAGATTATGGAAATAGTATCGATATATTTGTGTTGATTTCCACGAACTTTAATTTTTACGGGAAAAGTCACGAGACAACATTCCTTGAGGTATGGGCTGTTCTACCTCATGCGAAATTCGAGGTTAAAAAAAAGGGAAAAATGTAAATATAAGCATTAAACGGCATTCTGTCTCGTGTTATGGTCCTATAACACGGAAAATAATGCTGTTTAATGATTATATGACACGTTACCAACGTAGGTCATACAGATTGAAATTTCCTTACACTTAGTACGTACTTATAGCAAGATCAATACAGTGTGTCTTAAAAAGTATGAACATTATATTTGATAAAATGGGGACAGAGTATTGTTTTTTGTGTGAACTGGCGATTAAAACATGCGATTGAATGCTATCGGTATTGAGTGTTAAAACCGAAGTTCATGTTGTTCCAACAGTATTTTGGTCTTTAGCATCACTGATGAGACATAGAAGGACAAATCAGCCGTATGGTGTAGTGTAAATACCGTTTGGCATCTGTAACCAAATTTCATACTTGCAATCACATGTTTGAGTCTAACGTTCATCTTATAATAATAATAATAATAATAATTCGAGGTTCTTATATTCCGCTTTATCACAGCCTAGTTCATAGGTCGTCTCAAAGCGGTTCACAAATTATTATCCGTGGTTATAGGGTCTTTGCAACCAGCCAATATCTCAACTCCCTGTGGGGCATACAGACGGTACTGCCATTTCGGCGATCACAGCTAGCATTCTACAATTCTAGCACTGCCCACCCACGTACTCATTTACAGCTGAGTAGACTGGAACAAGTGGAGTAAAGTATCTTGCTCAAACATACAGCACAGTGCCGTGCCGTGACGCGAACCCGCAACCCTTCAGTCACGAGCCCGGCGTCCTACTACTAGACTACCGTCCCTCCGTGCGATTATAATCGCCAGTAGAACCATCCAAACCAGCGTACTATTCCCTAAATGAAATTAAAAAAATAAACACTTACTTACTTATTTAAGTACATGATATTCATATTATTTTACAGTTGTACCTCAAGTCGAAATAAGTCAAAATATTTTTTGGAAGAAAAATAATAAATTAATGCAGAATAAAACAGGTAAATGCTGTAGATATGATGTTTTGTTTCCATTGACGATTTATAGCATAATGTTAAAACTGTCTTCTTCTTAGCGCCGTCAATGGTGATGTTTATGCGCGTGGGACCCTGTGCAGAGGCGTGAAAAAAGGGGATAATTTACAGTGATTAGTTTTTTGGGTTTTTGGGTTTTTTTGTACATGGTATAAGATAAAAAGTTAAAAGCGTGCGTATGTACTAGCGTGTGGTAAGGGCTTCAAGTGTTGCATAGGGTATGTGTGCTTTGAAGTCCTATAGTGTTGTTCATTGTACTGCTGCTATGGGAAGGAGATTCCATTGTGTTATTGTGTGTGGAAAGAATGAATATTTGTAGGTGTCCTTTGTAGTAGATATGTGTTTGTACGCGGAAGGGTGTGCAAGTCTGGTTCGAGGGTCTACGGGTGTGAGTATATATATGTTTATTGCTACGAGTTGGTGAACTGTTATATAAAAAAAAGTTATTCTTGTGTGAAGGCGTCGTGTTTGTAGTGTTGGTCGTTGTAGTTTGTGGATCATGTCTGTAACTTAGCTGATGTTGTGATATTTGTTGTTTACGTAGCGTGCTGCTCTTTGTTGAGTTTTTTTCTAATTGTTGAATTCGGTTTGTGTTGTGTGGGACCCAAATAGAAGAGCAGTATTCAAGTTTTGATCTGACTAGTGCTTTGTATGCATGTTCTAGTATATGTGGTGAGTTCATGTACATGTACATGTTTCTTGTATGATTTTAAGGAGCGTCGGACTAGGACTGGCATCGACATCTTCTAGGATGGGAGGAATGCTGGCCCCGTTTGCTGGGTCTGTGGTAAGGAGAAACAATCCGATAGTGGTGGCGTGCTAAACCACTGTTTTTGTCAAATATCCGCTCCGGTATAATATTAGGACTTTATTAGTCCGGAATATTTACTTATTTATTTGATTTCCCCCCTTTTATTAGTCTTCTCTCCACTCATGTAAAAACACTACACAAACTACAAATATCCATTTGCCGTCTAGCCCTGGGCACCGCGAGCAGTCGGCGTTTAATATTGCAGCAAAAATATATACATGATACATACAAAATACAGATGTACTATATACCCCGTATATATAAAAGCCCAATTGACAAAGATGTGTCATCCCAAACATTCGTTAACAAAACTCGCTATCTGTTATTAAAAAAATAACATCCTTCCCCATCTCAAACCAAAAAAAAACCACCTGCCGCCCAGGAAAAACCGGAGCTGCTCCCGGAAACCTGTGTCCTATTGTCGACATGCAATAATAAAGGCGGGAGAACTACTACAGCCCATTGCAGGATGGTCTAGGGGTAACGCTGGACATGCGTTAAGGTTCACATGTATTTATCAATTATGTCTGGCAATGCAAAAACTACAAAACAAATCTAACGAAACCTTTCCTGAACTCAACCCCTACCTAAACACCCCTACCCACGGGTGTGCGTCCACAAGTGAATACACCTAAAATACCCATTACTTCGTAAAACAAAAACAAAAAAATTGACCTGAACTGCTCGGTGTCTGACTAGAGAATGCCTATAAACCAGTACAAACCGCGTGACCACGCGCTAAAGCCCGTGCGCCACGTTATAACCTCGTATCCGCGAAGACAAACAATTCCCGCTTTTACTACCGAAACGCGGGAATATTTTATTATCTCCAATTAGAGAGATAATATTTTATGCACAAATTATTATGATGGATCTCGAAAATGAACAAAATGAATTTAAACATACATTCATATAATGAAAGCAACAGTTCTTTTCAATTGTCAAATGTGTTTTTACTTTTTTTCATTTCTTTTAAGAAATGTAATTCTTTCAGAAAATATTGCATAGTTAAATTAAAAAGGTGAATTCCATTAACTTCTACTTACGTGATAAATTGCCACCGATTTTTTTACCGATTACATGTGCATTAGTGGTGACAGTATATATACTAATAATTTAATCTTGCTTGTAACAAACATTTCCATTGGCTTATGTTATGTTACAATTTATGTTATCAGCCCATAACGTAAAAAATGACGTCGCCGTTTGTAACGTCGCTTTTGATTGACTGATACAGCGGCGTAATAAATTCTTAGAGGAAAGAGTCCATCAATAAAAGTGGATTTCCACAGGGATTATGTATAGTTGATTAAATCATAAGGATTGACTTAAATATATTTTGTATGTTATGGAGCGGAGCTATAACACAACAAAACGGAGTGTACTCTAAATAAACCGCGAAGCGCCATAACGTGAAAAATATATTCAAGTTAATCCTTAAATAGACTAACTGATATTATTTCTATTCATCATAGGCCTTCGTCATCATTTGGCTACCGGGAGCAGTCTTTTCTGTCATGTGTCTTATAGCGGTCTATTTGACGTCATTGCTACCGGAAACATCGGGCCACGAACTCCCGACGTCGATAGCAGAGCTGAAACTGTGGTATAAAGCTAACACGGGGAACAGGCAAAAAACAAAGAAAGTCACGGCTTCATAAGTTTATACCATTTTTTGTAGACAAATGGATTTTCAAAACAATATTAAACCAGATTGGTGTGATGCATATCCTTTGTATTGTTGTTGTTGTTTTACTGAACGAATTTAAGCATATAGTTCTTGTCCTAAAAAACAATCTGGCTTCAGTTGTTATCAGAAATAATTCAAAATACATTAAAGATAGTTAAGGTTCAAAAAGCCTTTAAAAGGATGTTATGGTCATTTTTAATTGTATTACTTGAATGCTTTTATTATTCACGTGTATTTATTAAGACACGTGAAAAAAACATATAAACGCGATGCGCATTTGGTGAAAAACATTTTAGATAGTTGACTATAAAGCACACCTGACGACTCTCGCTCGCATACCTAGTGATATGTAAGGGAAGTCAATGTCCATACAACAAGTCCGTCAACAAACAATACATTGAACATGTTTTTGTGTGTTTGTATCGCGTTTAATGTCCTCGCAACAGTTAAGGTCATACGAGGTCAAATGAGTTCATAAGAGGTCAAATGAAGACGGTGTTTACAGAGACACTGCCAAAGAGAACGACTACATGTAGGGAAATCAGAAAAGGAAACATTAAACATGAGAACGATGTTTAAGATATTTTATTTCTCGTGTGATGATTAACGAACAAGCTTTTCCAGAAATTTAACTGACCGAAGCATAATCGCCAAAGCTATATATAACAGCATATTCGACATAGACTGGCCACTTTGACCATGTGTACATGTAGTCATGACGATAGCAGTCCAGCAATGACCTCTACAGCCAGCATAGGCACAATTTACATGGGACTATTATAGCTACTTTGCTGACCGACACAACAAGACTAAACAAAATCTGCATATTCTGCAAGTAGTTATA